TTAAGTTTGATAAAATGTCAACTCACTGTAATATTAAAAGTTAAAACTACCTTACGAAACTAATAAACACAAGCTGCTGAATGCAAATTTGTTATGTTACACACGTCTTGTAAGAGTGTAAGGTGGAGACGAGCAGACAAAATGTGCAGATGTCCTCTTATTATTATAAAAAATTGTAGACTTCGTCGAGATATGTGTTTGTATGAAATACGTAAGCAAAATGGAAACGATATTATTATATCTTATATAACCTAACCGTCTGTACTTTCACGCTCAAATCGCAGTTGTGCATCGTTAGTATTATACTATCGTATTTATTTTTATTCCTAGTCTGTCGTTTCTCGTTTTTATAAAAAAAATTAAAAGACATTATATTAATTAAATTCTGTAATTTATTATTATTTGCTGATAATATTTAAACTCTTTGCCCGAGTAAATACCCCAGATGACTTTTTTTATTAGTCGAGAACGGTATTACTATTTTAGAACGGTATATATACATATACCTACTCTAAATGCTCTAAAATAAAACATTTCCAAATGTGTATGCAAATAACCTTTTCTTATAAAAAACGACCATGAACCTTCGAAATACCCCAACATTAATAATGGTTAGTCATTATAAGTCATGTTCAAGAAATAAAAGATTTAGGTATTATTCTATCCAAGGACTTCTCTTTTAAATCTCATATATAAACTCTATAGTTTATGGTATTGCACATGGAACATTAGGATTTATTAAACTAATTATTGGCAGTTCTCAGATATTAGATGTTCAATAGTTTGAATTAGTTACTTCGTTATTAGATTTTGGATCAATAAATTGGAATACGCGGTCATTACAAATTGCAGAGTATTGGTAATAAAAAATAACATTTACTTAATAGCATACTTTTATTACATCTTTGATTCATAATTTATATTCGTAATTGTGTAATATAATATCTTTGATGTATTATTTATATATTTTTTTTTTTTATTGATCTTAAGCATCGGTAACTATGGCCATCAGCATTTTTGTAGACGGGTTACGGTTGATTGAGGATCACATATATGTAGGACGAGGGTTCGTTATTAAAAAAAAATAAAAACCCGGTTGGTCACCCAAGCCGATGCTTGGCCTCAGAACACGCTATAGTGACTGAGGCCGACCAACGAGCCATACCAGACAACCATTCATATTTTTAACTGTTTAATTTAGTTGATTTGTATATAAATATTTGAAATTGTAAGTTCTGTAGTTTTTACCCTGTGCGGTGTTTATAACGAATATAATAAAATAAATAAAAAATAAATGCGTATTTGTTCGTGTTTGAGCATTCGTAAGACGGAGGCAACAGAAGTGGCACATTTCTCATAATATAAAAACGTCTCCGATCGGTCGGAACCAAATAACAAGTCCAAACAGCAAACACAATATAATACCGATGCTTGACCTCAGAACACGTTAGTGACTGAGGCCGACCACCGAGACACACCAGACAACCATTCATATTTTTATAACTGTTTAATGAAGTTGATTTGTATATAAATATTTGAAATTTGAAGCTCTGTAGTTTTTACCCTGTGCGGTGTTTATAACGAATATAATAAAATAAATAAAAAATAAATGCGTATTTGTTCGTGTTTGAGCACTCTTAAGACGGAGGCAACAGAAGTGGCACATTTCTCATAATATAAAAACGTCTCCGATCGGTCGGAACCAAATAACAAGTCCACACAGCAAACACATAATAGGACGTATTTGTTTTGCACGATGTCACTTTTGTTTACCACAAATCTATCGTTTGTCTTCATCGCAACGATGATGGCTTGTGCACGCACCAAAGACGTCAACGGGTCACGCGAGAACGTGACATTCTCGTCGCGTATAGATAATACGACGAGCAGACATATTATTTTCGTCCCACCCTAAACACTCACCCCCCCCGAGAGACGTTCCAAATATTTATGGAAAAAGATTCTTTTTTTTTTTCATTATTATTATTGTTATTTATTTTCGCATGAACGTTGTTGTACACGTTTTTAATATAAGAGACGTGCTCGGCGTGAGATTTAAATCGCTGCTAAAAATATATCATATTATTCGTTTCACTCCGATATGTTATTATTACTGTGATTTTTGTTGTTCGTTTATTTGACTTACATTCTGTTTGCTTTACTACGCTGGAAATTTAAATGTCAAACTGTTACTATAATATTCTACATCGATCTGTTTGTGTACCTAACTGATATAATAATTTATAAGCTCTTAAAAACAGCTGTATAAATAATAATATTATATTAAACAGAAATGACGTTTGCAGTGGCACGTTTATGGCTCCAAATTCGAAAAATTGTTATTACTATTTTATCTATAACTGATTCTTATTTGATAGTATACCTCATGTTGTATTACAAATATTTTCTGCAAGGTAAATAGAAATACATTTAAAATAAATGTTTGTAATATTTAAACAACAACTATTGAATACGTGTTGATGTATTCGAGGAAAGAACAGACTTTATTCAAACATTACTAAAACGGTAAGGTACATACAATTATTTAGGTAGGCACGTATATATATAAACATAATGATATGTTATATTTGTATAACTACAAAACACGAATTACACAAAAGTCTATGGAATCGGAGCTTTGAACGGATTCTGGTAGTTGGTATCGGATTTCAAACGCAGCTTGAGAAAATAAATACAAAATCAAAGAAACTTCTAAACAAAGTCTGATTCTGGGTAGGCTACAAACTATATTATATATTAGATTGGATAAACATTTATTATATATATATCAGCTGATGAGTATATCCTCTGACGTTTTGAATTTTATTTGAAGTAGGAAATTCTAGCGAACACATCGTGCAGAATATATTATATATATATATATATCTGTACATGGCTTTCGGTAGCTATTAGTTTATTTCGTTAGCGGAGTTGTTTAAGATGAAAGGATACGACGAATAAAACTGAATCAAATAAAATCAAAAGCTGTGCAGTTCATCACGCATTACGTGGTACAGACATCTGCTGTATAGTAACAGCAGTTGACATATATTAGAATCCGTTCGATTTTTTTTTTCGTATTTTTTATTTCCAGAACACCACCACATGAGCCTGCACACTAAACGAATATGGTTTTGGACATTTTCCATGCTATTTCTTGACGTAGGTTGTATATTATATTATGTATAGGTGACGAAGTGACCTATAACTATACATGACAGACAAACGTTCAAAAATTACATTAAAATAATAAGGCAAAAGCGACGAGTGTTATTATTTTTACAATTATGATTGCAGCAGCCACGAAAAAGACAAATTTCCTCGAACTATAACACTCCTGCGGTAATAAGCACAATCCAGGAAGGGAGGGGGTGAACAGAAGGGGGGCAGTTTCTATAGTTGTTTACTATAGTGATAAGGGCAAACATACTTTGGGTTTTTAGAGAATTATTCTTGAGCTTGAATATTATTTTTCTCTGTGAGTTTCTCACTGTATGAGAAAATATATAACTGCATAACAAATAAAGTCAAAATCTGTGCAGCTCAAAGAGCATTTACGCCATACATCTGCTGTACATAGTAACATTGGTTGACATAAGAATCCGTTCGAGTTTTTTTTTCGTATTTCTTATACCCCGAACACCACCACATGAGCCTACACAGTACACACTAAACGAATACGGTTATGGCCATTTCCCATACTATTTTTTGACGTAGGTTGTATATTATATTATGTATAGGTGACGAAGTGACCTATAACTATATATACAACAGTTTAAAAATTACATTAAAATAATACCTACTGCAAAAGCGACGAGTGTTATTAATATTAATTATTATGATTGCAGCCGACACGAAAACAACAAATTTTCTCGAACTCTATCAATAATACTGCGATCATAAGCACAATCTAGGTGGGGAGGGGGTGGACCGAAGGGGGGCTATAGTTATTTACTATTATAGTGATAAGGGCAAACATCATATTATCGTGTTGGGCTCCTATTTTAAATTCTTTGAATAGGTACGATACTTTGGTTTTGTAGACAATTATTCTTGAGCTTGAATATTATTTTTCTGTGTGCTTTTTAGATGATCACTGTATGGCAAAATATATAACTGAATAACAAATAAAGTCAAAAGTTGTGCAGCTCAAAGCGCATTTACGCCATACATCTGCTGTGTATAGTAACATCGGTTGACATAAGAATCTGTTGGAGTTTTTTTTTCATATTTTTTATACCCAGAGGACCACTTTAATAATATGAGCCTATACATACTAAACGAATACGCTTATGAACATCGTTCATACTCATTTTTTTTTGTAGGTTGTAACATAATATGTATGTAGGAGCGTCCTACTGTGACGAAGTGACCCAACTATATAGGTATACAACAGTTTAAAAATGACATTAAAAAAATATGGCAAAAGCGGTGAGTGTTATTAATATTTTTTTTGTTATAATTATGACTGCAGCAAACATGAAATTTCCACGAACAATAACAATACTGCGATCATAAATGTAATACGGGTGAGGGGGGGGGAAGGGAGCAGTTGTTTTCTGACATATTACTAAAGTAGGGGGGGGGGGAGACATATAGTTTTGGCCTCCTGTTTTAAACACTAATTCATTAAATATATAACAACACTTTTGCGTTTCAGTGAATTATTCTTGAGTTTGAATACCATTTATCTGCAGTGTACGTTTTACATAATTACTAGATTTGTCATTAAAATATTTATATTGTTATAGTTAATGTTTTGTAATTAATTATACAATTAATAGCTACTACATAAGTAAAAAATATTAAAGAATTACATTTTGCCCTCCCCTCAAAAATAAAAAAAATCACTTTAATAGTTTATGTTACGCCACTGACTGCGATCAATATAATATAATATTCAATAGGTAATTATATATACTTATTATAAATAATTTTCCATTTCTCTTTCAATTGTCTCGGCGACGTTGGCGATAATAACTTTATTTCATACTACTTACCGAAAGCAAAGCGTGGATTAAGTCAGCCTTTACAGTGGATAAAGGTTTTCCTGTTATCAAAATAGTGAACGTCTCGTCTTTTTCAGAAGCCATTAAACTTCCGAACCACGATTTTTTCGTTAGTTCCGGTGAAGATTCAGGTGTAGGTTTATACGGCGTGTCCATGTCCACTGTTTGCATAAATAAAAAGAAACGCACAAATTTATAAAACGTGTTAGGGGCACAATCTACAAAGTTCAAAATGATTAAGTTCGCAACAAAAAACTAAACCGAGTAAACGTTTATTGCCCAACACTCATTCCGGAGGTTGGGCAATCACACGATCGAGCGTCTACTAAGTTCGCACCGAATTTTAATTTCACGATTATTAATTATTATAATATGCTAATATCTATAAACACGAGTTAAACTTGACGTAAAATGTTGTTAATCAACTGGAAAACGCTAAAACTACGTTATTATGTACAGTGTACTAATTTAAGCTAGATAATAATTAAGTTAATCAAAAAATCAAACATAAATCTAACTATTTTACTCAATGATCAAAAAAAAAAAAAAATTTTACTGGGAAATGGGGCGGCCCATCTTTGTGTCCCGTTTAATCTAGTTAAATAATTTACAATATTATAGCAAGCACGTGTACATCACGACAAAACGCAATTACTTTGAGGTTTACGCCTGTGGAATTTCGGCGACCCCAGTACGCTATTGCGTATCGACGTAAGTCTCGATTTCCAATGGTTAGACAGGTGTTGAGGCGACCCCGGGGGCGTGCAGATGACCACTGAAAAAATAATCACACGTGCGCGTTATAATCACATGTTATTGTGCGTTTAATTAATCCGCTCGTTTCTGTCGATATAGTAATTATTATTATTTATTATATTATTAATGTATTTATAATATTATATTGTATTGGTGTTTGGATTTACTGTGGTTAGGAGACGAAGGCACTTCGACTTTTGCCTGCTTCGCGTGGTGCACGGGCGACGGGGGTACGGCTGCCGAGCACGAGCTGTTCGTGTCCAACGTCTGGTTGTGCGCTGAAATGTAATTGCCGTGAGGGGAAATCGATGAGTTCTTCGACTGCTGGCTCTTGTGGTGATTGTGGTAACGATAGTTTGAGTTGTTTGACCTAACAGTCGTAAAACGCCGGCGGGCCCGTTAAAACCGAAAACGAAATCGTTTTCCCTTTTTCCCGTATACGTTACCTTTGGGGAAGGGGTGATAATATACCAGCTAAGGTCGAAGAACTGGCTAAGCTCGAACCGCTGCACATGTTGCCGCCCGCAGAACTTACATTGTTGTAACTTCCTCTCCTGTAGTAGATGCGATTTCTGCGGTGGAGAAAAAAAATTAACGTTACAAACCTTATAAGTTACAAAGTTTTACGCGATTTGCCAGGCGCCATTAGTTATACACCGTACACGAGAACAGACTATAGGTATAATCATTGTGGTACTCAAAAGATTATATTTTAATGTATTAAAGTAGTTATGGTCATCTCGTGAACAGCGTACGATATCATTAGTCGCATCGATAAAATAATATATTATTTTCAATTTGGTATTAAAATAAAAAATATCACATCAAGGAATATAATTTGATTTTGATTTAAAGTACGATCAAGTTTAAGAAAGATGGCGTTGTTGCCATGTAAAAATGTCGCACAATGATTTAGGTAATAGGTTTATCGATCTTAACTATTAATATATTATAAATTCTCAGTGGTGCGGACAATGTATTGATTAAACAATAATGATTAATGAATATTCATTTTTTATGTGTCGGAGACACTTTTTGTAGTAGAAAAAATACATTAATTTTCAACTTCAGTAAATTCCCAGTACTCTTCTAAATAATTGCGAAAAAAAAATATTGTAAAATCGTCATTTTTATGCAATAAATGTTTTGGATAAAATAAAATTACTTATTTTGTTGTAATTAAAAAAACAATAACCATAGATATAGATTTTATATTTTATACTCATAAAATGTCAATATTAGAATTTTTATGGTTATATAATATGATATCGTCGGCCTAATTCGCAAAAGTCGTATCTCCATTTTTTGTCATTTTGGGATTATTTACTCATTAAATAAAGAAAAAAAACTGCGTCTGTTGATACAATCAAATTTCCGATTTCATAATATTATCCTCCATGAAATTGATAATTAGAAATCGTCGTATCTCCAATTAATAATATGGCCGTAAAACGTTTTTTTCTTCTCCTGAACAATTTGTAATTTTGAACATACGACCTTTGCGAATTAGGCCGACGATATATAGTTTGCAAAAAAATTCATAAGTAATTATTCAATAAAATCTGTTCTGTAGAAATTGTATATAAGTTCTTCATAAGTATTGTTATTATAGCTATTGGAAATATTAACGATAATTACTTAGAAGCACGATTTTATTTATAACCATTTGAAGTTCAAATGTTGTCATCTGTAGTCTATTAGTATACACCTATACTATACAGTATCTAATTATTTCAATCATCATTACTTATATGTATTAGATAATGTCATGGGTGGGTGGTTAGTCCTAAGTGTTCGGTCCAACGATGTCACACGACTGTTTTCAATTTCTGAACACCTTTTAAAATGTTTTACATGGGACTTTCACTAAATCATAAATTAAATTGAATAATATTTTTTTTAAATAGTGCTTTTATTTAAAGGTGGAAAACATAAGTGAATAATGTTTGGTAAAAGCACACACACAATTATGTTTGCATTATTTGTACAACGAACAAATTAATGTGTATACCGATTGATGTCATACAAATACGTAGAATAATACATTAAATGTTGCTATTGAATTTTTAAAAATATGAACAACATTTTTGAAATTTTGTGTACAATACTAGCTACATTATTTTTGCGAATAAGCGAATTTTCCATACGTTCAAAACGATTATGTTCTAAGTATACAATAATATTGCATCTAAATTGATAGGTCGTAATTTTAAATACGTGGATGAAGATACACCATGGGCATTAAGATATTTTTCAGTTGTTGTAATAGGTAGGTACTCGGAATAATAAATAGGTATAAACGAAAACGCCATCGTCGTAAAATTGATATTTTATTCTTCACTCAAAACGTTTAAGAAATAAAAACAATTTATACCACTCCAATCATTTCATCATTTATAAGTGCAAGCTGTCTCTTTGTTGTCGCTACAACGATCTCTTTTGGTAATAAAAATATATAATACCTAACGTCTATTTTATACCAACTACAACAACAACAGCAAACAAACAAACAAAATAATAATAATGATAAATAAACATTTACATGCACAGTAATGACTAATGGATTGATATTTTTGAAGGGGCTTTAGTCAATTCTGTGCTGACTCTATACACAACCACCCTCGGCGCCACTCAGCCCCACTCCACAGACGCCTTTGACTATACCACGGAAATGGTTGACTACTCAATGCGAAAAACAATCAAAACATTACATCGAACGATAAGTTTTCGTTGCTACACTACGGTTCAATAACGAACTATAGACAATATCCAAACAATAGGTACGTATCAATAGTATATTGTATAGATAAGAGGTAGGTACCTATATTTTCTCTTTTGTTTCATGCCCCGCATAACTGTATACATATTTAGTTTTAGTCGTCATAGAGTGCTACAAGAGCGTCTACACACCCTTTCACTCTTCCTCCTAAGTCCAAGTTCACCACGATATGTCTATTGAAAACCACTCATGATTTAGCAGGTTTATACGTGTTGAAACAGTCCTGCGCAGATTATCCTGCGATTATCAGTAGGATAAGTAGTAGTATAATTCTAATAATTATACGTCTTTGCTTCAATTCATCTAAGAAGGGGTGGCGGCGTAGAAGAACCGTGTCCCTTGACATTCTCAACTCAATTTTTAATATATTTTTTTTAAAATGAAATGCTTATAGTGTAGGACATTATATAACATGTTGGTCAATTAGCTGATGACTGACGCCTTTTTAGATTCATGAAACAGTCTCCATTTATTGACCAGTGTTTAATAAGTTGTAAAATGATGACGAAGTTTTTACAATGTTTTTAAAAATATTTCAACGAAAATATAAAGTTATCTTTACTAAGCCTTTCCTAACCGTTGTTGCCCCCCCCTCCCAAAAAAAAAAAACCTGTACATTTTACCTCATTATTAAAATGTGAAAAAATGTTTATCTCTAAATTAAAATCTTCCTCCCCCACAAATTGTAAATACAATTTGCACCAATAGTCAATATTTATTTGTAAAATGTATTTAAGATTTTGAAACATTTTTCGAGAGGTCCAGGTACCAGATCCTTGGAAACAAAATATAGTTAAAGATTTGTCAGTCATACCAATTATATTTTTATAACGTCCTAAGTCATGCACCTATTTACAATAATATATATATATTATATATATACGACTCTTGATAAAATCAATTTATTTTACTTACTGCAACATTTGTTTTCGAGGTGTAGCAGGAGATCCAGCACTGATCTGAGAAAAATTACTATCGATGTCGTCGATCATTTTACACGTATCAACTCGCTTTTTCGGAGGATCGAAGCTGTTTTTGGTGTTTTTTACTGCAACTGTGTCGTCCTCATTAGCCGGTCGTCGTTTTTTGCGCTCGAGCAATAGGAAATATATCACTTTTTCAGTGTTATGACTATTCGAAAAATAACAAAATTAACATTAAAATCCCCAGCTTTTGTCCCAAACACATTTTCCAATAAACGTATCGAACATTAAATGAAAATACGGAGAAGGTACCTAATATAATTCGCATTATAATGTATTTATGTGTTTGACAATATTTGTTTGTTTGCGATCGTCATTACATTATGTGAACCGGATAATGCATTTTAATGTACACTTCACGTCGTCCGTAGTTATTGGAATTCCATTCGAAAATGTAAGTAGGTATTATTATTCATATTTTGATATTATTTATTAATTTTGAATTATCACTGTTTAATCGATTTCACGGCAGATTATATTATAGCGTGACAAAACAAACTGATAATTATTATTACTACAAATCGCTCATACTCGATTACGTTCCCATTCAAACAAATTATATAATATTATAATGACACCTCGACTAAATATAAATAATATTACGTTAGTCGCTTTTATGCACCGAGTTCGTTCAGTGTACATAATAATGTTTGTACATTGATTATAATAATTTAATATAAATAACATAATGGAGGTTCTAATAAACGGCGTGAGAATCAGTGGTTGTTTGCGATGATTTTGTTTCTCTTTCGGTTCAGATTTTCTGAGCGCGTTCAATTCAATAGCACTATACTTACTCGACACTCAACAAAGCGGCGGTGAGTTTTTCTCGGTCTTTGAAACAGCCTAAACTTGATATGGCTTGAAGAACGTCGGTGTCTAAGTCATTTGAGGACGGAATTATGTGGGTTTGTATGACGTCTATCATTGACATTCCTAAGTGCACTTCTCCTTTACCTCCGGCGATAACCCACGAGTGTTTGTTTATGTCTTTCAACTGAAACATAAGTAAATACATATTTATTGGTTCACACAAAAGAAAATATGTACCGAAAAAAATGTTTGTATAATAAATTAGATAGGTGGACTTGATAACATAATCACGAACGGTAAAATGTTTGTAAAGTTGATAATTATTTATAACCCATTAGGTAGGTATTGAAATGCGAAATCCGTCAATCTTCATCATATCATAACAATAAAATATAACTACCTTTTCAGGTTATTACTCGAAAACAACTTCAGTGTGGTGCTGAGAACACTTATTATTTTTTTTTAAACAAGTACCCGCGAAAAAGTAGTCATTTTCACATTTCACATTTCCGTATAAGAATATTAAACAGAGTAATAACCAAAAATAGCAGTAACGGTTCACCGGGTGGGCCCATCACCTCTATAATAGATATGAGGAAAAGAAGGAAAAAATATAAATGTTAAGGTGCAGGTTGGAAGCCGCGTATTTATGTCATGATTTAGGCCAGCTAAATAAACCTGACAAAATTACGTCCACTTAGAATAGGTAATTGAATTTGAATTCTCTAAAAAGATTTAAGTTAATTGACATATTTTCTAAATTATTCTGGGAATTAATTTTTTATTTCTCTTTTAAGATTAATCTTAAACCCATTTTAATTTATGTTGTCTTTTTAAATTTTAGATTTACGTCAGTGTATTTTTTAAGAAAGTCAGCAGTTGTTCATATTTTTTAAACTTAATTTGAATAGTATACTTTAAGGGTTTAATTTAAACCATTTAATTATACAATATTATAAGGATATTATATAAACGTAATTTGGAAGGATCTTCGCTGTAGGTAGCAATTACATATGTGGGTAGTCAAAAACATATAGGTATTCAATTTTGTATGATATAGAGTAGATAATACAGGCAAAATTAGAGAGTACGATATAATATGATAATAAGATTAAATACACAATAATTTTTTTTGGTCAAAGATTTGAGAATTATCTTGGTTTTTATTTGTATAAAACAATAAAATTAGGAGTAAAAAAAAAAAAATAAAATAGAACTCAAAAACCAAAACAATAAAAACAAAAAATGTAATTTTTGCTTCTGTTTGTATTATTTTTGCTATCATATAGAATTTACGTTTGAATTACTTATCATAACACTATCCTTCTATCATACACTTGATATTCTAAATATTATGATGGTTGTGTTTTTGTACTTTATGGACACGATAATACAGAAATAAAAGTTCTTGCTATCATGTCAGTTGTTTGTATTTATTACTAATTATTTTAAAGCGTTATGCAACAGCTTGAATGTTATTTTCTGTGTGCGTTTTATGTAATTATTGATTTGTCTTCAAATATTTATTCTATAAAAGGTACACTTTAAATTTTGCTCATTAGTCATTACAGTATAAAATATGAATCGTAACTTTATATTAAATTATTTTCACTAATTTCAACGTCTTACAAAACCTTAAGTACTGCTAAATATATGTATATATGTATATAGTTGGTGAATTATTTGAGGGGCAGAATGATGTCAATATTCCTCCTCACTAAATGTGTACACACAATATGTAAAAACATTTATCACCCCCCCCCCCCCCACCAAAAAAATTCTCCAAATGACACCACCTCACTGCCTAATTATATAATATGTCGAGTACGATTCCTCCACGCTGAATATTTTATAGTTTTGGAACACTTACGGTTAACCGTTTTTCCGGGTTGACTTCGATCATGCCTCGGAGCAAGTTTTGACAATCCGGTGGCACGAAATGCGGTATGTGGAAAACGCCCTTTTTCACCTTTTCCAACAGTTGGCGCAAGTTGTCGTCGTCGAATGGCAGCGCGCCGACAAGCAGTGCGTACAGTATTACACCACACGACCAAACGTCCGCTTTCCGCCCGTCGTATTTCTCGCCCTGAAAATCATGTTAGTTACAAACAGACTGTGTAAGTTCCGAGTAGTTGTGACGAAATATTTTGACGATATTATAGGTATTCAAAAGAATCATCAATCATTGAATAATATTCGAACGTATTTTATACAAAACGCCGAAATACTTAAAAATAAATACATCAATTTAAATATTACCTATATTATATTGTTTTTTTGAATAGTCATTATTTTTGTAACAATTAATGTGCCGTACCAAGATCATAACTAATAGGTCAATATAGGCTCAATGGTAAATTACATTTTTCCATATTTACCTTATAATTAATGAAATCAATAAACCATTATAAACCAACTCGATTATTTGTTGTATTACTGTTGGATTTAAACTTTAATCATGAATCACGAAATAATTATTGAAAAAATAAAATAAATAATGAGCCACCAAAATAAAATGTAAATACTTGATAACAAAAGTATTTAAAAAAAAGGTTTGATAATGAACGTATAATGTGTTTGAGTGAATGGTGAATTTTCTTTTTATCCGAATAAGATAAGTGTGCTTGGGTGAGTTTTTTATAAAGTATTTGTGTATTGTGTGAGCAGGATACAATAGAGTGGGAAACAATATTGATTAATATTTATTAAATAAATCAATATTATGATTGTAAAATGTATTAGTGAGTTCAGTAAACAATTATCAGTTGTGTTAGAGTCAGTGTCGTTATAGGAGATAATGCGAGTTTATGCTGATCTACCCACTTAGAATATGGTCAATCAATAATTTGGTTTCATCGTATTTAAATAAAATATAATTTCTTTTACACATTTTAATTTAATAAGATATGCTTGAATGTCAAATTCTTTTCTTTTTTTGCTATAGTATTCGTAGAATAGACTAGTTGCGACCCTATTCTAGTAGGTCAATCCATTTAACAGAATAATAAAGTAGGTATAAATTTAATTACGAGGCAAGGTCAAATTTGTTTCATTTTACCAGGCAGGGGGAATAGGAATACTGGTGGGGGTTTTCATTTCTCTATGAGAAATCTCAGTTACCGACGTCGGGTAATCAGCCTCCATCAACTCGTTATCATGACGGGTTCTTAATATTTACAGTTTGTTTATTTATGGTGTGATATTGTCTTGATATGAAAGTCAATAAAATAATCATTGTTCCTGAGTTATTATTTTTACAACGTCTCCTCGACCTAAACAACTACTGGCGCCTTGTCACTTTGCTCGACTATTGGAAACGTAAAGTCGTTATATAAGCGTTATTTTGTGAATTGCACTTATAATAATTTATTATAGTATGTGTTCATTGCACCTGAATACCTATGTTGTATTACAACTACTTCAAATATAAAATGTAAAACAATTAATACATTAAAAGGATTAAATAATACTCTTTTTAAACTTGATTTGGGATTTTTAATAATAAAAAAGCACAACGAATGTTTAATCATACCAGTAAAATTCATAGACAGTCACGAGACTATTAAAATTCGGGAAAAATGCATTGTATAAAATATTGCAGAATATTATTATTAAAAATTGCGCAAAAACATTACAATATGTTTGCACACTCGCCCTAACACAAACGTTTCAATTTAAAGTATTCATATACTTTTACTCAAATACTTAAAAACAATACATAGGTTCATAGTTCATACTAAGATGTGTATGGAAGCATTGAAGCTTTTCCTCTGAAAGTGAATGGTATCGATGTCGATTTTTTTTTTATAAAAACAAAAATCACAAGGTTTTAAGTACTTAATATTATACGTATAAGTATAAGTACTTGGGGGAACAGACAGCTGAATAGATTCAAGTATTATGGTTTAAATATAGGTATCGTCGCTTATAAGGAACTTTACCACAACAATTCTTTAGTATGATATTCTTATAATTGTGTTATTATAATTATAATCATCAAAGGAAAAACACTCCAGTATCTGAAACGCATTAAAAGGGTGGTGATCACAATATATTTTATGGAACATTTTTTTAATACTCATTTCACTGTTATATTGTTATATATAAAGATGCAATTAAAATACATTAAAAAATAAAAAACAAGACCCGAATTCAAAGAAAAGAGGGATCTCAAAGGGCCCCTGAGACGATCCACCCATCGCACACTTTGAATATTCCACCGAGACTTCTCTCGAAACAAAGAGAGAAAATCGTCACATTAATTATGTATTGATGGTTCATTAAAAAGTCTCAAATTTTATTTCTTGTATATCTGGAAGTTGGAACGCATAACGTTAGCGCCGAAATTCATTTGAACTAGCCACCATTGCAGTGTAGTGTAAAATAATCGTCACGCTTTTAGGGTTTGTATAGGTAGTTTGTATAATATTATGTACATCGGAGAAAAAATATCTTACTCGGATGACTTCAGGGCAAGCGTAGTGCGGAGAACCACAACTGGTCTCGAGCATGCTGCCGTTGGGCTGCAAGGACGCCATACCGAAGTCAGCGATTTTGATGTTGGTCTTTTCGTCTAGCAACAAGTTTTCCGGTTTCAAATCTCTGTGGCTGTGGAAATACAAACCAAACACAACTTATTAGTCAAATATAACTTACTATACCTATATTATACAGTATACCTATTTTAGAATATACTGTATAGATTGTCAACATTGTGATAACAATACGTATTAATATATTAATTATACAGATGATTTCGATTGCCATTTTTACTCTCGACAACATTTTTACCATCGACCAATAATTATTATTGTTATGCACTGAGAGTAGATTATTTATTTTGTGTCCAATTAATCATTTTGGGTGCATAGTCCATACTTTAATAGCCGTGTGACGGATAAATCTCTTTTTGACATGGAAGGTGACTAAAGAATTTTCTTACAATTATCGAATAAAATGTGACAACCGATGACTTAAGTATATATATTCTCTCGGCGCACGATTTTGACACGAATTTTTTATTTTTATGTCCCATCATTGTGTCAATTTTTATTATTTTCATGGTACGTGTGATGATGAAATTATTATAATAGTGTTTACTTAATGGGTGTCAACAAAAAAAATCACGATCACACGGCGTTTTGGATAGGCAAATCGGGTACACCGCTGTCATGCTCTTCATCATAATAAAATATGTTATAGTACGAATACATATTTTATCTACCAATCATCCGCGTAGTTTTATGACATCAGGGATATTTTCTAGAGCGTTATTCTAACGACAACGACAAATAATAAGAAACCAATGTTCGAGTTCTAATAAAAAACAATAAGTGTAGTTTATTAATAAAATTAGAAATTTAAACTATTAAGCATAGTTCTATGTTTTATTTTACTACTAAATAAAATATAAGTATTTAGGTATTCATGTAGACGGCAATATGTTGACTAATCTATGTTGAACCTAATACTAGCATAATATATCTAGTATCTATATATATATGAAAAAAAACAGGAACGAATGAAAATCAAAGTAGTTACAACAATTATTTTAGAGCTGCAATAGGAAAGTAGGGAATAAAAATTAAATTTTATACGCAATGAATATCATCGATATATCTATAAATGGTTTTATAATAGTGGTCGTATGTGTATGTATAATGTATATATTATATATTAAATTTTATATTCAATGGATATCATCGATATATCTATAAATGGTTTTGTAATAGTGGTCGTATGTGTATGTATAATGTTTTGGATATCCCCCACAATTACATAATATGTAAAAGTATGGTATCTATCCCGCTTCCATACCCTCCCCCCCCTCACAGTTAGTCAATTAACAATTTAATTTAAAATTTTTATTTTTATAGTTTAACAACATTTAAATAACGGAACACGAAATAGGTCAAATTATAGAACAGTATTTTTTAATTCTTGTTCTAATTCTTTTTGGCAAATTTAATAAAATAAACTTTACAATTTATAGTCTACTATTTTCAATATTATTGCCGTCATTTAGTATTTTCAGACCTATTTTGTTTTTTATCGATATTTTTCAAAAGTATTTATGAATGCTTATTTATTTTGTATACCATTTTAAGAAAATTAATTTTATTTGTTGTACCTTTATTATTGTTTAAATAGGTGATACAAACTACGATGTATAGTATAGTGTTATTATGTATAATATAATAAATTACTATACATATGAATTTTTATAACTTATAGTTTTAGTTTTGCCTAATTTGTAAAACTCTATTGTGTGCGTACTGTGTGGTTTGTTTACTGTTGGTTATCTTGGTAAATATTTTGTTTTGAAGTATAAAATAATACAAGATTTACGATGTTGGTTTTAAGTGAAAATGATACAATCGAATAGGTAAACAGAAAAATATACTAAACATAGTTGTAAAAAAATACGTACCTACTATATTATGTAGTTAATTTCTATGAAGTTATGTCGTTTTGAAAGTTTTGGTGTTTCTTGTTAGTTATTGTTCAACAAATATTGTTTAACCATAAACAGTTACTTACTCACACTTATACTTGCATGAACTAGCCAATACATCGATATACACGATTATCAATATCATTTTATTATTATTATTAATATTATTTATATTATAATTTATAAGTTATAATCAGAAATAATTATTAAAAGAAAAAAACCTATACCTACATTTTTTTATTACTATGTAACACATTTGTTTAACATCATATTATTAGCTAGATTTTCTTTCCCATACTCATTTTACAAGTTCGTAACTTAACACCAATTTCGAGAGAGGAGGGTTATTAGTCATAATCATCAATATAAAATAATCCACCCACCTACTTTATAAGTGACTGGTTATAAATAAATTATAATTTTTTTCAAAAAAAACATGTGTTATATAATATAATATAATGCTCCCATAATCCAATAGGAGCGATAAAATTACTTTTGTAAGTCCTATTGCTACATCTATAATGTTTGCTCCCTCTTCGAATTTGAAACGATTAATTTTGTACATCATATTATGTGAGTCTATCACAAGAGTCAATAGATAAATAGATAGGTAACCGCAACGAACACTGTAACCGTAGGTTACCAAAATGTGCGCATGCAGCAATATATGGGTAAATTATGTATACGGTTTAAACGCCACCGTCGTCAACATCGTCTTCATTAATATTCGACGAAAACTTTAGAAAATCACTGGAGCTGACAGCAGTGGTCATTTATTAATATACCGAGTCTGCTCGTCACGGTGTTTCAGATAATCAGATTTATAACCAAAACGGCGCAAACGGTGCAACTACCACAATTATAATGGAAAATATGGTATTGCTTATTTTAGAACTTTTTTAAATAATTGTATTTACTATCACACTATCATATTAATTTTTAAATTAAATACTATTTAAGAAATACTGTGTATTGCGATGAGATAAAATCGATTATTGCGATATTAAAATATTAAAATATATTGGAAGTGAAAAATGTTACGATTTGCATACACGGAAAACTATTGTTCAATACGCTAATATCAAACCAAGAAAAGTCAATTTCACCTATTAATAATATTGTGCAGACTAATTGACGTCAGTGAATATTTTGTTTTATCTCTCTGACCCACATTATGTTACCTTGATAAAATGCGTTCACGCTAAATCGTTTTTTATTTTTTTTTAAATAATCTATTAAAGGAAAATCAACAACTAAAAGTTATAAAATACTTTCAAGGATTAAAGTAATTGATTTCTTTATTATTTAATTTTGAAAATAAAAAATATTTTTTTTTTAATTTAAATGGGTTATAGGTAGTATATTTTTTGGGGACAATATATGTTTCAAAGACCCTCCAAAACACTTTTCTATACAATTTTTGTATGAGATGATTTTACTCTAAGTCTTTGAGTGTAATGATCATTCAAATTAGATGGAAAACCCATTATTTTCTTAAACGTTATTTCTATATATTGGATCAGAGAGAGAAAACAATAATATTAATAGTGCTCTGACATCCTGTTAAACAATTTAAAAAACAAGTTTAGAACTAAGATCATAACATTCATATTGTACTGTGTACGGCGGTACTGTTTGGCTGCAGTTATACATAATATTATTATAGTGTACAATAAACACCGGAGATTTCATTTGTATTTTTTAAAACACCCATAATACTGTTATTGTCTTCGACTGACGATAAATGGCTGGCCACGTTGCTCTAACAATAATAATATTTTAAACAATCGTATAATTATTTCTGTCCCGTTTTCGAATAGGAATTCGTGCGCAATTCGTACGCTATATGAATGTTATGCGGTTCACAAAGGCCTGGGATTAAAAGTCCACCGAGAAATAGAAAAACGGTCTCTCTCTTTTTAAACTTTATTTGAATTACCTTGGCAAAAAATAACTAACAATTTAAACGTATTATTATTTTATATATAAATATATGCGAAGAATACTATAACGTTCTATATTTATTATTGTATAATTTAACCTGAACAATAATAAAAATTCCAATAGTCGACTAATTTATGCATTTTTAAATATTTTTCTCGCTACGAAATCGTAATAAAAATGTAAAACCTTATTAAGTATAGGTACGTGATAGTTATTTTCAAATATTTTGCAGACATAATAACGGTGGTTTTATAAAAATTTAATATTACGTTTTTAGCTAGATTTATAAAATGGCAATTACCAATATTTGTGAGGTGTATTTGTGTAAGTGCTTTAACAAGTAAAAAAATACCGTAACGTAAAAAAGACAAGTATACAAAGGTAGCATAGTCTCTTAAAAAAATTGTTTAGTTATGTCCACAAATCATCTCATAATATTATTATAACTCTAAAAATGATCTATTTTATACTGCATATTGGTGAATATTTTAAGTAAAATATGTAAAACTATATTATTGCATATTTTAACAACAAAATTAGGAATAATGTATTATGTTTTGTGTTATACATATTGTCTATATTACCACGTCATAGGTATCATAGGACGGTTATTTATTATTTAAATTCCATAAAATCAGTGATTTTGAAAAAAAAAAATTAATTCGGTAATAAATAGGTATTTACTTAAGAATTAGATATTAATAATGTTAGGTACTTATATTGCATCATGTATATTTCACTAAGCATAAAAATCAAACACTTAAGATAAACAGTAAAACCTCCTTATAACGGAATGAGTACCAACCGATTTTCTATCGTTATAAAGGAATTTCACTACTATAAGGATGAGACTATAATATAAGAGATCTAGACACGCGGTAGCGTGTCAAGCCAAGTTCTAGCTAACAGAACTGGCGAGCAGCACCGTGTGTAATATTACACGAACCATTTGGAGCTACTTTTGACCCCCTCATAACTCAAAAACTATTCCACATAAACATGTCAAATTTGGCTCATATATTGAGACTAACGAGATACATATGTGCTCTAAATTTCATAAACACACTTTAAACCGTTATTTAGATATTAACGTCCGAAAATCGTCATTTTTATCACTGACTTACCTATAGATCAAAATTCTAACCCAGTTCCAGATGACCTAGAAAGTTCAAATTTGGCATACAGATAGGTAGTTAGGTACAAAGGTTAAATACAAAGGAAAAAATCAGAAACTTGAAAATTTTTAATTTAACATTTTTTAATTTTTAATTTTTTAATCAATTGATTTTATTATAATTTTGCAATTATTTTATCTAGTATGTTTAATTTTTCAATTTATTAATGAATTGCCTCTAATTTAATGTAATGTAATGTAATGTTGACTTAAATAACCTTTCCCGTATCGCCGCTCCAAAAATACGACTAGCCGAATATGTGTCGATATTGTCGACCCGCGCGCAGCAACATACTTTTTTTTCTATCTATGTATGTAATTAATATTATTTTTTTTAAATATTACAATTAAAATAATTAAATAATTATTCTTACAAATTATGAATTATCCACCCAACAGTAGAAACTACAGTCAATAAAATTATGATAATTAAAATATACTCAAAAAGAGTTAAAATAATTGTATATTAATTTTACATATATTTTATACTCTGTATATACAACGGAAAATATTTTATAATAAATATTATTATTAATATTAGTAACTGAATTATATTATATAGTAATAAACTTTATTTATAGAATACGTCATGGCTAGGTTAGGTTAGGTTATAATAATTTACATACAAAAAGTAATGATATCCCACCAAAAACAAAAAATATGTAAAATGAGAGCCAAGTTCAATACTATAATATATGCCTTGGTTGTTGACTTCAACGACAAAAGAAGTGAGATCTAAATGGGTGCCAAGTTAGGATAATATATTAAAGCCTAAGGTCTGACTTGGCTACGAATTATATATTATAGCATTTGCAAGTTCTAAAGCTTTGAGTTCTTATTTTATTCTTCGGAAAATCATCTTCACTCTTCCATTACTGTTTTAGTAGGTACTTATAATAATAATTCGTATATGAAAAGTAGCCAAGTCACACCTTAGGCTTCAATATATTATCCTAACTTGGCACCCATTTAGATCTCACTTCTTTTGTTGTTGAAGTCAACAACCAAGGCATATATTATAGTATTGAACTTGGCTCTCATTTTACATATATGTTTTTGGTGGGATATATAGGTTATACAGGACCTTTGTTATTTTCCGTTGTAAGGAGATTTCCGTCTTTTAGGGAATCCGTTATAAGGAGGTTTAGCTGCATATGTATACACTTATAAGTAGGTCACAACTGAATATAATTATTCCAAATAAAATGTCATCAATATGATGAATATTAAGTTATTTCTGCTCAATTTCATGTAAAAAATTGTATTCGATTATATGGAAATGGAATGCTAGCCCAAATTGTCGTGACATCTGCTGAGTAGGAGATTTACCTATTCTGAGACTTACATTGAATTGGACATTGTCATAATAAGAGAGAAGAATGTACATAATTTATCTCTTTGGCTGGACGACATAAATATAGGGTCTAAAACAGGAAGCATTCAGAAGTGATCAAACGGAGTTTGTGAAAACACCTTCACCATACCATCTGAAATTTTAATTGTAAAACTCTTAGAATATTTTCAAAAGTAATTACATATTAACTATTATTTCAACTTCAAAGATAAGTCTCATCCTCACATCCGTTCAAACTGATTTTGATATTGGTAAATATCGTAAATGTATTATATAATTTTAGGTTTCGATAAACTTATCTATTCACATTCACCCTCAGGTCAAAATACTATCTTATCATAATATTGGATATTCTTCCTCTTTCTACTGCTCAAAATGTAAATTTTTTAGCCATACATCTATATAGTAGATTAACATGGGCAACCTGCATACGCAACCCTTGCTTTGAATAACCATGGTTCTCGACAATTACGACGTCTATTGTTACATCTAAACATATATTAACTTGAAAAATAAAACTCATCTTTATAAACTTTTTTAAAGCCAATATGAACCAATGGAATACGACTCTGGGGCTCAGCCAAACCCTCGAACATTAATAAAATCCAAATGTCTCCGTCAAATTACTAAAGCACCCTTTTATGTCTCAAACCACACTCTACACAAAGACCTCTCAATTTAAACTGTACAAAATGTAGCTATAAAAACTTCTACAAACGACTTCTGTCCAACATCCACAACCATCGCAATCCTCTCTCATCTCCGAACTATCTGCTCTTACCATCCTAGGTGACCCCAGGTGACCCTGGAAGACGACTAAATCGAAAATGGTGCAGCGATCTCCTAATTGATTGATATACAAACATATGCCATAAAGTTCCACTTTAGATGGATTCTTCAAGCAATTCTAAATAACCACCTGTTTAATTAATACATCAATTTAGCTCATTGTAAGCATTTAAACTTAGGTACAGATTGTGAAATATGTATTTTATAATGGACAAAAAAAGGCTTCGATAAGTGACACCCTCCTATTCGAGACGATTTTTGATTTCACAATAATACTATAAATACAGATAATCACATTTTAAACCAAGTCGAGGAGGACTCGTTTTACTCCAAATAAAAACGTCACATCATCTATCCACTGTTCGGTACGATAATTATTTAAAGTCACTATTCATTCCTCGACTGTATGCCTGTAATAATTATCTAACGTCTCAGGTATATAACTAGGTACCTATATCAAAATGAACCCACTCTTATTAATGATGCACCAGTTTAATGCGTCGCAGTAACGATAGTGTCTGCAGTAATATTTTGTTACAAATCGATTATCGCGAGATGTTATTTAACACCTAGTCGTCTCATTTATCATAACGTCTCACTTATAATTATAATACGCTACTATTCATTAAAATAAATAATACCATCTGGTGCCTGCAAACTGACCTATTTCGTATACTACACGAGTCATCCAAAAATGTAATCTACGAATTTGAATAAAAACAGTTTGCCGAGTTCGTACATTATTTTTATACCGTAGGCAATTATTTAGATCTATACAGAAGTGATGTGAAGTTCTGCTGTTAAATGCTTCGATTTAATTAATATAATTAATACATATTACATGCGAATTTTGTATTTTGTTTTTTTACTTTGTAATATAATTGTAATATCATTATTGTACGATATAATATACTCCATGGTAATATACTTAATGAGCTTTTGCCAATATCACTACTGTTTGAAAATTATTAGTTATTACAATATAACATTCACTTATAACCACGATAGATACATAATATAATATTATATTATAGGTATATAATTCGTTAATTGTGACAATTTTATGGTAAAACTAACAACTTGTGTAAACAGAATGGGTTTGTGGTTATGACTTATGGATAAGAATTAAGCAGAAATAGTTAGTGCCTTTGAAAGAAGCGAATTTAGTGAACTGTTATATGATGTTATTAGTGATCTAAAAATGTAATTTAAGTACTAAACAAATATTAAATATTAGAAAAATATTGCACTGATTGTAAGTGTGGGTTGCAGGTTCCTTCTGCAAATGTTTTATCTTGAATTGTGTTTATGACCAGAAAGAGCAATGTTTGAGGTGACATAATTTAAAACCTAAGATGATTCTAATTAAATTTATATATTTATATATTTAAAATTAGATTACATTTTACGTTATATGAGTAATTTATAAACATATAAAATACATAAAATGTGTGATACACACTACAAACATTTAAAGTGACGAGTATTTATTTTCTGGGTGATTCTAATGATCTTCAGAACATACTGATTTTTTTTTATTATAGTGGATAAATAATTTATTTTTAATGTATTAACTGTTCAAAACTTACACTAACGAAAAACTAAGAGTCTAAAATGTGTAATTAATTTAGTTCATTATTTCAAATATTATTTTTTCGGATAAAAATAATCAAAGTCATATTATTTATTCACATTTGATTTATTCGTTTTGTTTTCACAGTATTTATATATAAAAAATGTATATTTTATTTTAAAACCCAAATTAGATATTTAAATATAATTATATTGATTGTCTTACGTTCTTTTCGCCACTTGTTTTAGAGAAATCTATATCTTACAACCCAACCGTACTTATTGTAGGTAATAGTGGCTAAGAGGATTAAATAAATAGGCACTTAAATACATTAATTTTCTCAAAATCAATTACTTTTTTTTATTATAGTCTTTTGACCTAAAGTTTTGGGACTAAAAACAATATGATACTATTTGGATTATATTTAATATAATATAAGCCTTTGCATAAAATAGAAAATATATCATTGCTGAAATGTAAGAACTCAACTATACAATTATATAATTGGGTATACCCAATACGTTCTTCAATTATAAGAAATTATATTAAATATAAGTAGGTAATTCATAATATGTAAGTATAATATGCACTGCATTAGACAATAGTTCAATAAATTCTAAAACCGAATAATTAGTGCAGATACATAAAAATATGTGATAGTCAAATTTTAATTTAAAAAAAACTGTACAGCAATCAGCATTATAAATTGTATAATGTCATATTGTAATTAGTGTGTAATTATAATCGAACAGTTTACATATAGGTAGGTACATGGCTAATTACAAGGTAAACTTATTATCACGTCTTAGTATCATACGAAAATCATGCTTACCATATTAAATGACTGTGGCAAAAGTCTAACGCAGAGATGATTTGTCGAAAAAATCTTCTAGCTTCTTTGGGCGTCAGCCTCCCTTTTTTAACCAAGTAGTCAAAAAGTTCGCCTCCGGACACGTGTTCCAGTATCAAGTATCTGAAATCGAAATTAATATAATAATTATACAACTGTTATTATGGTTAGTCATGGGAGGCCATTTTTGGCCTACCGGGAAATTATTAAAAGGGGGGCTCCCTGGCCAACATGAAAAAAAAATAAGCAAGTACATTATAGGGCGAATTATATGAGCTACCATATCAAAAGAAAACAATGTACAACAAAACACATTTTTAAAATCATTTATTTATTTTTTATTTTTTTAAATAATAACATTCTACCAAATACTTTGGTCCTATAGCTCCTAATTTATTAATGATGTATTCAGAATCAATTTTGTTCAGTATATCTTTTAGATTATTTTCAGAATATTTGTGACAACCTGTAATCGACGTTGTAGTTGTAGTTGGTGGCAGAGTGGCGGCTGCCGGCCGATAGATGACAAGAGATCTCTTGTAAAATACCACAGAATAGTAATGGATTTATAGATATAAGATTATAATAATATAATATTTCAACTTTATATTGTAATTGTATAATATTATAATATTAATATAATATGAATGAGTCATTGCTTTAACCATAAAAAGGGCCCCATTGAGGAAATACGAAGTGGGGGCCCACCGGGAAATGCCAGGTTTCCCGGTAGGCCAATCCACCCATGTGGTTAGGCCTGTTACTGCTTGCTTAGGCTCTTTCGCTATAGGTACAGTCGAAAACGTAATCACTTTCAAGAGGAGATGGTATTATTTGTGCCAATTTTAGTAGGTACTTTTAATTAAAACGAAATTACATGGTATGTAAACTGGTATGTACACTTTTAGTTTCAATTATTAGAATAATTTACCTCATGCATTTACTGACTTCACATCAGTTATAGCACATAAAATGTGAATAAATAATATGGGCTATTAATAAAATGTAACAATGTTGCAAGTTACAATTATTGTACCTAGTTACAAGATTACATAATTCCCTTTTATCGAGTTATATGTGGCGTAAATGACCAACATTTATTTTTCGATGAGGAGCAAAGTTTTTATTTTATTTTTGGTTGTTTTTGCCGCAAATTACACCCCTTCCAAGAACAAATAACACAAACGACGTTTATATAAATCGTGTCTTTGAAATAAAATAAGCCACGGCCTAGATGTTTGGAGTTTAACTGCAAGATTCATTGGCCAGATGTTGGCCATTAGTGTCGTTTCGTATATTTGAAACATAAATATCATAGAATTCGAAAAATATATCATCAGATAAAATATTTATTATAAAAAAAATATTTTTAACGGTTTTCGGCTTACTGGGCCATTCAGAATGCTGTTTTATCGTGCCTTGATTATAGGTGTATAAATAATGGTGTTTAACTGAATTAAAATAAAATGTAATGTTATTTAAGATTAAAAAGTAATTTTGTCAAATAATTTGCAGTTAAAAATTCAAGGAGACTAATTTAATCCGCATAGTAAAAAAGTATCGAGCTTGTAAAAAATGTGCTATGTGATTAACCTCGAGTTGAACTGCACGTAATATTTAATCATATATTTTATTTTTTAATTTCGATTAGATTAGCCCAAGCCCTAACTCCTAAGGTAACTTTGTATTACATGTTCAGTTCAAATATATTCTTAATTGTACAAGTACAACAATGTGAAAACAAAAATAAAAAGTTCAATTTTAAAATCTACATTATTGTTAGTACATAAACTAATTCTCGGGTATATTCACTTAAATTGAGATTTGTTAAAAATTTTAAGTTTTGATTGTTATTATTCTTGAATTACAATCGAAGGAACCACAATCGATTTCGTATAAAAAACGGTTACCTATATATAGTAAGTTCACTGTAAACTTTAGACTGTTTTGCAACTCTTCGGTAGTTTTTCTTTACGCTTGACGAAACCATTGAGAGAATGGATAAATCACCTCTTCAATGTACCGATTATATTTTCTTTTTTTAAATTTAAATATATTTTTTATAGAATGAGCATAATAGTTGGTTTTTGTTAATTTTAAAATAACATTGTCAATTTTATAAAGCTATTTTTTCATGTTATATAACTATAAAAATGAATTGTTGGAGTGAGATGTGGTAACAACGATAATATAATATAATATGGATGGCTGTGTTTTCTACCGTTTTTATATAATGAAGATCTGAATGTATAGTATTTGTTTTGTAACATAATAATATAGATTATTATGGATTAGACGAAGTATTTTCGGCTGAAATATTTGGATTTCTTTGCAGAACAACACTTCTGCATCCTGAATTGTGCTTCCACCACCAAAATTTGTGTAAAAATTATATTAACAAATTAATTATTTTGAATTTTACCAAAATAAAAAATTGAAAAGGTACAATTTTGAATTTGTACCAAAAAAAATTTAATAGGTACAATTTAAAATTTAAAATTTTTGGTATGAAAAAAAAAATGTTTAAATATGGATTAGAACAAAGTTATTTAATTTGTCAAGTTTTTCATTAAGGGGCCTGGTCGCGACCTGTTTTTTTGCTCAAACATCTACAGAAACTCTCACGCCTTGTAGACTGGTCCGATTTCCGTAATTTTTTTTTTGTTAAATAGAGGAAGACGTATTGCAGGGCGCATTGGACTTGGATTTTCAAAATTATTTTTCGAAATCTTATATTACAAGTTTGAATTTAATCCATTTTTACAACTTTTTAGTTTTTGTATTATTATTTATTTTTAGCAACGTAATCAAAAATCAAAGTCCAATGCGCCCTGTAAAAAATATTCTTCTATCTAACAAAAAAAAAATACGGAAATCGGACCAATCTACGAGGTGTGAGAGTTTTTCCTGTAAACTGTGTTTTGACCGATATAATACACCCTATCAACCCCCCCCTAAATAGGTATTGGGTAGTAGATTAGTGGAAAAGTCTTATAATTGAGGTGGCAACTAAAATATAAAATTTAATTTTCAAATTTTATAGAATTGCGGAAAATTTGAAAAATCGCTACCAGGCCCCTTAATACTATAATATATTCCCATAGGCATATATTTAGTTTTTTAAGGACTGGGTGTTTGTATATAATTAGTAATTACATTTTATAATTTTACCATTTTTTTGATGAAAAAGTAATGTGTTTGAGATCATACCAATCAGTCAGCTTGTATAAATACCGACTGCCTGTGTATATTTTTAGTGACGATTAATGATTATCGTATCTTTATCTACCTACATTATGAATCTTCATGACCATAAATAATATTTTTCGTATGCGTTTTGTTTTGTTTTTTACTAATAGGTTGTTTTGGTTTTTTTTTTTAACTAGCTTAATAACATCCCATCGCTCATAAAATATTTAACGACGACAATTGTTCAGCAAACGTTCATAATATAAGCCATTATGACATTTGATTGATAAACAAATTATTAAACCAACAAAGATATCATATGTATGCCTATACATAATACATAATATTGTACCTCACCTACTCTACAATATCGTCGAAACCGTACAACGATGTTTACTTTTTTTACATGCCTTATATTTGCGTTATTTCATTCATTGGACAAATATTAATGCACATCCAGTCCGCTTTTCGGACGGTATTGAATGTCATTATTTACTTTATCTGTAAGCTGCGTTCGGTCTAAAAATAAAAACCATTATAGTATACAGAAGCTGTATATACGACCCATCGCATTTGTTTTCGAATACTCTGTACCTAATATTAATGCATTTTTAAACGATTAATTAACATTGACGCGTATACATATTGTATACAGGGCACAATGAAAATAAATGGATAGTCGTTTTTGTTCATTGGACCACGTATAATAAATTTGTTTCTTTTTTTTAATTTTAATTTTTCATAATATTATCAGCTTGGTTGAAAATTTATAAAAAACAAGTTAGGAAAAACGCATCACCCCTCAAGAGTGATAGATCTCAAGGTGGTTTCTATGAGTTAAGAAAGAAAACATTGTGTACCTAACAATTATATTAAAATAATAATTAAAATGAATAATCTTTTGTTAATAAGTAACAATATCTTTAAACTATCATTGAGCTATAATAAATAGCACTACTAAAGTAATTAGTGAACGTCTTATATATAGGTAAACAAAATGAGTAATTATAATTGTTTTATTTATCAATATATAAATATTGCCTATTGATAAGTGACAACCAGAATTAACCACCGATTTCATTGTGAAATCCTTGTATACAGTAGTAATAAATAATATGCTTAATACCATTGTGGCACTGTTATTATGGTGCTGAATGCCTCAATGGTGCCACTACGGTGAAATCCATAATTTTATGGTAGAATTTCACGTTCGATTTCTCGGTAATAATAATATAATACGATATTTGAACTATATATAGGATTGTAAGTCAGATAAGTTATATGGTTATTGTATTTCCTTTTGTATTTTATTTATTGCCAAAAACCTGATACTGATTTATTTGTATTTATTTTTAATTTATTTTTCCCAACCCTTCAAATAATATAAATATAACTTCTGGTGAAAAAGATTTAAGGCTGAACCTTTTTCAGACAAAATACATCAAAAGATCAGTGTTAAATACATCATTTCAGCTTTAGACCTTAAATCAATAAGTTAAGACTTAAAATACAAAATAAAATAAAGTAACTAAATCAAATAGTATTATTATTGTCCTACCATTATATATTGCCCACAAAACACACATAATGGGTGATGGGTCACTCGATTTTTATCATAGGTTTGCATTTAAATTCTATGATTAAGATTCCACATTGAATTTTCCGGTGAAAGGTATAATCAAGCCTGGGCAACTTAACTATTTTTTTTAACTCGTTAAGTTAAGTTAATATTGAAAAATTCTTTAATGATATTTTTGGTACAGTTACATCAACCTCTTAGAATATAGAAATATGTAAACTGTATAGGTATTAGGTATACTATTCTTACTATTACATGGTGGTATTTCTTCCCACACATATTATGACTGTGGTTAACTTATTGAAAACAAATAAATAAATGGGATCGACTTAAATCGAACACTAATAAAATTAAATGCGAGTAAGCATTCAAAATATTTAAATAATTGAACTCACAGGTATCGCTTGTTTTCGTAGACGTCTGACAAGCCCAACACGTGCGGGTGGTCTATGAGTTTCATTATAGCAATCTCCCTTTCCACCTGGAACCGAAAAAAAAACAAATATTAATATTTCAATATACTTGACTTCGAAAAAACTTAAACAATATAGTATATAGTAAGTATAATATAATATGTCAGCACGTCCGAACATTTCAATTTTCGACAGTTTATTAAAACTAAAATACCAAAATCGATTTTTGAGTATATACTCAAGTTTTCTTTAATTTTTTTTTTTGCTTAAGGGTTATTTTGTTAAGTTCTGGAAATGTTTACTTTTGACTAGAAGTACCTAATAGATCCAATTTTCTACCAGAAACCACTCTCAAAGTTTAAAAAAGTTGTAAAAAATATCCCTCCGATCATCAGAATCAAACAAAACATTATACATAATTACAGTATATATGACTGAGGTTTTATTCCTAGATAACGTTAGATTTTATCCAAATAGTATAAGTACCTATGCTAACAAATATTAAATATTAAATTCTCGAAGCTTTAAAAATAGATAATTATGAGTTGGCTGAATGTTGTAGTAATTTGTATTTTTTTTTCTATTACCTAGGTAGTCCAATATGAAGCTTATTATAAGCTTTAATTCTCTTTATTTATTCAATTATTATTTTAGACTTTTTGACTTTTTTTCGTTTTGTAATAAGTTACTATTATTACAAAAAATATGTGTATTATTGTATATTTTTTTAAATTTCCAACTACAAAACCATAGATATACACATACTTAAATTTAGAATTTACTATACAATGTAAATAGACGTGGTAGCTGTGTTTATATTTGTTGTATATTATATTTTAAAAATAATTGGACATCGTGGTGTTTTAATATAATTTGTGATTTTTAGCGATTTTTCGCTTTATTTAAATTGATTTGTTTTTGAGTCTTATCACGCGGATCTCTACAACATTATAACTTAAGTAAAAAAACCATAAATATCAGCTATAATCATCATAATATTGCCATAGGCAAAAGCAATTTTTATAAATGAACTAATAAACGAGAAAGGTATCTCTGAAATAATATAAAAAGCCTTCCCTGCAGCCATCGTATATTCTACCCCTTATATACACCCCAGACAACAGCGCGTATTATTAACAACTAACAAAAATATCAATAAATACGATACAGCATTATATGTTTTATGACGTGTACATGTGTTATGAATTATATATATAGGTACCTACATCACGTATTAATATCATTAAAATGTGTACCAATATCTGTTGTAATATAATTATAAGACAGGTCAAGTCGTTTACAACGAAGGCTGATTAAATATGAAAACTATCCCTCAAATTCACTTGTGTCCGGTGTTGTTTTTCTTTTTGTACGGCCAGTGTTTATCACAATAAGTATTACGCAAACACATCGGTCGAACACGTAACCTCTATGGTCCTATACAAGCCGTATGAACCTTGAACGCATCTATCTCATATGACTTTAGGTATTTACTTTCGAATACATCGTATGTTAGGACCATGGTTAGGATATATACGTATTACAGGGTTGAATTCAAAGAGCCAGGGATAAAAATGATATACGCCCATCCTCATTGAAATTACCTGAGGTGCAACTTTAATATTTCATTTTAATATGAGATATACTATTAAAAAGGGAGATTACTTAGCTCCCGGTTACATTTCATATTTGCATATTATCTACAACAGTAGTACTTAATATACAGAAAATAATCTAACAACGAATACAAGAGCGCCTGCAAAATAGAATTCCACTTGGGGCGAGATTAAAATCCAATGGCCAAATATAAGTATTAGTATATTTTGGTATTATACAGGACGTACCTATCTCTATTCTAATATAGCGTACCTATTTCATCATTGTTACACCTTTTTAATTTTAGAAATTTTTAAAAACTATATGATATGGCATATCATTAAATTATGCGTACAGTCGACCAAATTTTCATTTTTTTTTCGGGGGGGAGGGGGACAGACATTTTAGATCCATCTATACCGTGGGCACCCTTGCAACAAAAAATTCTTTACACGCTTTGTATACATGAAAAGGTAATTTTTGTTAATATGTTCATTGGTTAATATTTAAAAAATTGTAATTACCTAGTTTATATTAGGTATTCGTAATATTATATTTTAGAGATATTCAATTATAATCGTTAAAATTATTTTCATAACACCCGAAATAGTGCTGAGAAAATATTACCCCCTGGGACGAATCCCCATGGTTTCCCCCCTTAAAAGGTTCTGTCCCGGTGGACAAACGGTTTTGTATTTAAGACAGTTAATCGTCTGATGGGTAATCCTCTAGTGGTGGTCTTCGCCGTCGCGGAAAGATGGAAAACAATACCGTAGTTCGACCGGGTATACCGGAAATGGTTACATTTACATAAGTCACCGTCGGCTTTGTATTTATGTTATACGTCTCGTGAATCGAAACACGAGGAAGAAGCAAACAAATTAAATGCGATGTACGCGTGCCGCGTGCGGGTGTGTGGGTGCTTATGTGTGGGTGTGTCAACCGTGCTATTATTACGTAATAATATATAGTAAACATCGTACCTGCATGGAAATAAATATAAATTATTATGTTCCGCGAAATTATGCGGCGGAGCTGGTGCTTTGTAAAACAATCAAAGTTACTTTGTTGCCACCGGTTGACAAAACTTCGATGGGCTTTTCACGGTTACCATAATAATCAAACATGGATTAATTAATTAGTAGACAAAATATCTTAATACCACGTTTCTCCTAAAACCTTCCAGTGGTATAAACCTTTCAAGAATAAATAATATAGTGTTCCTCTTGCTCGACGCAAATGTAAATGATATCCGAAAATAGCACGCACGCGCATACGACGCTTTGATCATTATTATTATTATTATGTTGTTGTTATTATTATTATTATTATATGGTTTTAACCGCAGACATGAACCGAGCTATTAAATATTAATAATATAATACGACTACGACCACGCGAAACGATGTTTCGGCGGTGAAGTACATCACAGACATGAGCAATAGAGGGCGACTGCTGTTTTTCAGATAATATTATTTTGTTTTCGGCAATTAAGACGTTACGAATCGCGAGGTCACAAAAAATAAAATATCTTACAAATAATAGCATTGGCATTGTAATGGGAGCAAACAATTAAAAGAGTTTCTGCCTAGAGATGATTATTATAATATTATATATAGGTAACAGCTGCAACTGACTACTTCAATATTATTACCGTCCATATTTCCTCGGGATTTATTGCACACAATTAATTATACCTCAATAGTTCATAGGAGCTTAATAATAATAATATTATCAGACGAAAAGCTCTAAACTTATTATTTGCCGTGAGTGTGAAATGAGTACTGAACGTCAGAAACGATTCAAATTTAATAACAAAACTAATGGGATATAAATATAAAAACTATAATATGGAACTGGCTCAGCTGTATAGTGCAAATTTCGAGCGCACTTCATCATTCATTACTAGGTCACTGTAACGAATGTGAATTTGATTTGAATTCAATGATACATCGTCGACAGCTTCAAAAGCTTAGGTATAGTAAAAAGTAGGTTACCACTTTGGTGTACAGTAGGTGTCGAGAACCTATCGTCATTGAGAAGTATCTGTAATGTGTGTGTTAAATTTATTGTAATTCAAATGATGCATACGAAAAACGATTCTGATCGAAGACGGTCTGTCAGCCTATATTACTATAAGTATATTTTATCATATATTTTATATTGCAAGTATGGTAATTTATTTTACAATTATAATAAAAATGTAATACGGTAGGTCGAATTGATTTTTAGTGGACATTTTTAGGAACAAAAAATCATACATTTCGAATGCCTATTAACTAGCTCAATATGTTATTTAAATTATTTTATGAAACTGTTAAGTATCTACGGTTATTCGTTTTTGAATTACAATAAAATATTGATTTTGTCAAAAACGGGTTTTGCGTAAAAAATTTAGTTTTTCCTGGCCTAACCTGGCTAACCTGAATGTACCAACTTGTTACCAGAAACCATCTCCAATGTTTAAAATGTATTCATTTTTACTGATCTAAAAGGCAATGAAAGGCCTCCGCTACACTCATAAACTATGAAATTGTGACATTGGACTTTCGAAATATTTTTACTAAAGGTATTATAAGAAAAACTTACGATGAACTTTGTAAAACTTTTTGAATTTTTTTTTTGTTGCTTATTTTGGGATCTCAGTGAATTACTTATATTTGGTAGACATTTTTTTTTTTCATTCTTATGTAGGTAATGATCGGAGAAAACAATATGGTTTCATAATTATTCAAAGAAGGAGATCCTCCTTTCTCCAAATCAGATCAAACGATGGAAAAATGCATGCAATTATAAGATTTGTTATAAATTATTCCATAAGTAAAACTTATTATATCAAATATTATTTGTCTCTTAACTTCTTAAAAAATCCAATTGCTCACATTGAAAATCGACGTAGAGTAGGTACATACCTCAGAAAATGTGAAAAAGAATTTAAAAGTACTATACCTAACGCAGAACGAGGGATTGCCTTCGTCGAATGGATATGAAATATTATAATTCAATTTTATCAAATTACGAAAAGAATACGTTTTCAAGTAGCTAGGTAGTGGAAAGTTATCGTCAAAGATTCCCAAACTCAAATAAATCTACTCAAGTTTGTAATTTTATTTTTTATTTATATAATGTTTAACTGACGTATTATATAATATACCTACAATGACACAATGTCTATTGTATAACTTTGAAATTTTCAATTTTAACTACCTAATTTTAAAACGTCTTTGGCTACCTTGGAAAATCATTTTAAATGTTGTATAGTTTTATCCGTTTATGACATATTATTATAAAAATGGTGGATTGACATATGTATTATGTATTATATTTAAGTTGAAATTATAGTGGTGCCATAATAAAATGTATATGATATATATTATATTATATTGTATTGTAGAAACAACTAGGTAGCCATATTATTTATTATACTATTATTACGATAATTATAAAATTAGTTCACAGCTTATTTACCTAT